CTTCTAGTCCTGGCTGCCTTCACAGAGTCATCTTTAGAACTGTAATGTTTTGCAGATGTTAGAATGGAATAATATTTTTAACTATAAATATTTGCTTTGGTCTATTCTCCTTTGAGTACCTTGTAATCTATATTTCTGTCATTTTTCTTTTTCTTGTAATTCCTGAAACAAATCAACTTGTAAAAAAATCAACCTGTTTTTTGTACTTATTTTCTTAGTTTTTGAACTTCTGATTCAAACTGTATATTTAAAAGAATATCTCCAAATACTTCTTGGAGAACATTTTCTTTAGCTTGAGGTGTTGTATTATGCTTTCCTTCTGCTTTGTAATAGTTTCAGAGGGAAAATAGTCAACAGTTAAAATTATTAATTCAAATTTTCTGTTTTCTCCTTACATCAGTTTTGTATGAAATTTTTGCTGTTTTTCTATTCCTAAGCAATTCATGGACAAGGTTATTAGTTCAAGAGTGCCCTCTTCTGTTAATTCGATAAAACACAAATACTTAAATGGACATTCATAGGGAGGAAGAGAAGACATTGCCAATTTTTTCACTTTTTTTTTCTTCAAGAGCCTTAACTCTTCCCTCTGTTCCTCTCTTTGCCTTCATTATCACATCTCCAAGGGTCATTACCCTTTCTCCATATATCTGATTCTCCTAAGGCAGTGCTTCTCCAAAAACACCATTTCTTTCCCTGAAGATAGTACAATAAACTACCAAGTCTTAGCTCAGTATTCAGAATTTTGGTGCTTATTCTTGGACTTTTTCTTATGAGAGTGATTTCTGTGCTTGATGTAAGCATCTCCATCCATTTACCCTTCTCATGGAATCTTTTACACTTTCACTTCCCCCTATGTCCATACTTTTAGTATAACAGTAGAAACACCCTAGAATTCGTTTTATTACTTACAGGTCATTTGCAAGTTTTGGGGTTTTTTAACCTATAATACTAAAAGTATGATTAGGTATGTGCAGTTTACATATTACTGAAGGAAAATGTATATAGAGAAATAAAATCAGACATCCACTATTCACATTGTACTGTATTCATAAAATACAATGTTATACAGCATTAAAACAGAATGGATTTGTAATAAACATTATGTGAAAGAATGTCCAAAACATATTCATTTGAGAGTAGCTGGGTACAGAAGAGTATAAATACTAAATGTTCTTATTTGTATAAAATTCTGTAGCAAGAAAAACCAATTTATTCTTCTATAAATAAGACCAAGTGTTCCCTGGGATACTCAGTAAAGGAAATTCACTTCGAAGGAATACAGAGAACTTATTGTGATGAAAATATTCTTTATCTTGATTGAGGTTACAGTTACACAGCTAAAAACGTGTCTCAACTTCTATCAAACTACACTTAAAATGTATGCATTTTGTCTCACATAAATTTCTACAGCACTTAATGTGATTTTTAAATAACACAGTACATAAATTAAATAGCTGATTGGATACAAAGGAGAGTGGATTCATAAGGTAAATCAGAAAGACAAAATATGGAAAATATATAAGAAAACATGGAGAAAATAGAAAAATATCAAGTTTGCATTTAATAAGAATTTGTGAAGACAGTAAAACAGAGAAGAGGCAATAGTCAAAGGAATATGATGGAATTTTTCACAACCAATGAAAGAAACAAACTTTCATATGAAAAAGAAAACAAATCTGAGCACATTGATTTTTCTTCAAATATATTATAGTGAAATATGGAATTTTTAAAATGAAGAAAAAATATCTAGAAGAAAAAGAAGAATGATGAATAATTCTCTTCAGTAAAAAGAGATACCAGAAAACAACTAAAGAACTGTAACATAAAATTTTATACCTAGCTAAATTACACTCAAAGCAAAGACAAAATAAATACAAATTCACATGAAGATAAACTGAGGGAATTTCCTATTCACTGATATTTCCCAAACAATTTACAAATAGTTTAATTCATTAATAATGAAGTAAATCAAACAACAGTGTTGAAAAATTACTAAAAAGTGGAGATTAAGGTATCTTGGCACACATCTGACTTCTAATAGTTTGTTTTGTTAAACAAATTTTTATCTATGTTCATACTTTTTTCTTCTATTATCTTTATCCAGTTTTAGTATTAGCACAATGTTCATTTCCTAAAATGAGGGGAGATGTGTTCCTTCTTTTTTCTGCTTTAAATGTTTGATATAATTTATCAGTTGAAAATGTATACAAGCCTGCTGTTGTCATATAGATAGGTTTGCAAGCTAGGAATACACTTTCTTTAATAGGTGCTATTCAAATTTTATATTTCATCCAGAGTTAGTTTCATTAATTTGTCTTTCAAGGTACTTCTTAGAAGTTGTCAAATTCATTTCAAAAAAGATTTTTGTAATATGCTTTCCACATCCTTTTAAATTCTGTAAAATCTGTGGTAATGTCTTCTAGATCTTGGTATTGTAATTTTTAAAATGTGTAATTGATATTGTGAAATAGGAATAAAAAGTCTAAAGGAGTAGGGGAAGTGGGAGGGGTAGGAGAAAAAAGAAGGGAAAAGAAAAAATATGATAAAAGGAAAAAAATGGAAACAAAGTTTTTGCAAATAGGGAAGGGAGGGCAGGGGAAGGGGAAAAAATAAGAACCAAGATACATAAGATCCTAATGATGAATGTAACTGTATTTTATACCTAAAATGTACCAATAAACTTAATGGAAAAAAAATACAAAAAAAAAAAGATATCTTGGCACAACCTTACAGAAACAATAAGAAACAAAAATATATGAGAAGTTGTTACTATTTTGTTCATTTCAAAGACAAAATATTATAATAGGTCACAAAAGGTGTTATCTGAAAGGATCAAGAAAGGTATGGTTACATTTCAAAATTGAAGATAAATGCAATTGGATGGTGGCAATAACATTTTATGTTCTACAGCATGGTTCACAACATTTAATTGCACATTTCAAAATAGCTAGTAGGGAAGATTTTTAATGTTCCCAAGACAAAGAAATAATAAATGAGGTAAGAGATACACTAATTATCCTGATCTGATCATTATATATTGTATATACGTACTGGAGTATCACGCCTACCTCATAAATATGTGCAATTACTATGTGTTAGTTAAAAATACAAGAAGAAAGAAAGAGAGAGAGAGAGACTTGGAAGAAGTTTGAGGAAGAAAGTATGACACATAGTAATGGTAACTAATTAATAGCACAGACTCTAAAAACAGAATGTATGTATTCATTTCCTCATTTGTCACTATCCAACTGCATCTCTTTAGGTAATTTTCTCAAATATCTAAAGCTCTTCACGTATAAACTTGAAACAATAATACTACCTACATCAGTGAGTTATTGTAGGAGTAAATGAGAACTGTTTTTCAAGAGAACTATGGAATGACTTTATTCCTGGTGCTTGCTAATACTCAGGCATTTTGATTCTGAAATCTAATCAGAATTGCATAGATTTCCCTTGATCAGGTGTGTTCATTCCTAATAAAATTTTTATGAATTCATTCCTATGTGATATTTTACTAGCTATGACTTTGGACAATTCTCTTGACCAGTATGAGGCTCAGTTTGTTCATCCATAAAATGGGAATAATGCTGTCTCTCTTTTGGGGTTCTTATGATGAATAAATTAGTCAACCAGACCAACAATGCTGAACTAATCCAAAAGATGAAGTCTTTACTTTTACCTACATGAGCCCACATGACCCAGATTTTATCTCATGTTAGTCTCTTACCACACACTCCTCTCCAGCCCCACTCACCGCCTTGCTGCTACATGAATGTGCAGCTTATCCCTTGCCAGTCGTGGTTGCTTTTGCATTCTTTTTGGACTTTATTTAGATGCTGTCTTATCAATAACAACTTTCTCGACTACTCTTGTTTCCAAGGACCTCATATCCACATTTCAAGCATTGTTTTCCTCCATAATACTATATATAATATATTAATATTATATGTCAATATATTGTATAATGTATTATATATTATATAGTTATATATGTAATTTATATAATATATATTTCACTTTTTCTCTCTTGTTACTAGAACATATACTTCATGCATAGTCAAAGTTCTCCAGAGGAACACAGCCAATGAAATATATATAACTATAAGAGGAGATTTATTAGATTGGCTTATATAATGAGGCTAAATAGTCCTACAATGGCTATCTGCAGGCTTGAAAGCCAGGGAAACCCAAAGCTACTCAGTCCAAGAGTTGGAAGCCCATGAACAAGAGGAATCATTGATGCAGCCCCTGTCCAATGCTGAAGGCCTCAAAGCTTTCTGGAGAGTGGCTGGTGCAAGTCCACATTCAAAGGTTGAGAAATATGGTGTCTGATGTCCATACGACATTAACAGCAAAAACACACCTGCTCAAGAAGGGTTGAGTGCATGCACAGGTGACCTTCTCTCTCTTTTTGGTGACACTGGGGTCCCAGAATATTGGATTATGCTGCCCATGTTCAGGGTGGGTCTACCCAACTCAGCTAACCAATCTTCTCTGGAAACATCGTCACATACACACCCAGAAATGTACTTTACCAGTTTTCTAGATCTTTCCCAATCCAGTCAAGTTGACAACTAAGAGTCACCACCATACTTCATAAAAGCAGAGATTCCTAAACTTTTTCATTGATGTTTCTCCAGTATATAGAACAGTGCCTACCATGCTGCTAACATTCAATAAATGTTAACCGAACGAATCATTTAAAGGTTCCATATCAGACACATATCCTACATGTTTCCTCATCTTTTTTCTGTGTTGTCTGCCTTCTAGAACTTTAGTACCATCTTCCATTTTTTTTGCAATTCAAACTATACCTTATCTTCCAAATTTAAGCTCTGAGTATGTCAGGTCCTACCTTTTAGCTCTCAATTTATAGCCATACCTGTAAGTTATTTCCAGATATGGATAAAACACTATACACATGATAAGAGACCTGGTATTCTGAGTGATCAACCAATGAGCTAGAGAATGCAATACAAAAAGAAAAAGAAAACTCCTACCTGAGGAAGAACTCTGAGCAGTAGGAAACAAATGAGGAGGGAAGGGAATGTGAAGACAGCAACATTTTCTCTTTCTTTGCCCCTCAAATACTCGGTGGTAGAAATCTTCCTTGCAACCTGTTGGGAGATAAATCTTGTACCAGCCAGACAGATGCACTTGCCCAGTTACTTACAATGTCTCTTTGTGGCTTGTTCTGAAACAAGAACCAGTACAGTGATAAATCTATTACATTATTTCCTGTCACTGTTTATTTCTCTTACCACCCCCTGTTTTCACCTTTATTTCTTTCGACTAGGCTTGTACTTTTCAAATCAAGTCCCAACATTGCAATCTTTGTCATGGACTCTGTTTTTTTTTTTAAAAAACCTGGGCTAAGACAGAATCTTTGATGTTTCCATGCATTTGGATTCAAGGAACTAAACTGCATTAGTTACTTGGTACGTGAGAATACAGTGCTTAGAAATAAGCCTGGTTAGGGTCCCAGTCATACCATTTCCCAGCTACATGGTTTGGTAATTTATTTAATCTTTGCGATCCTTAACTTCTTCAGGTATAAACATTCTATCTCTTCCTGTTGAAATGGCATAACACCATACAAGGTCTAACACAAAACAGTTGTCCATAAAACCAATGAAATAGAAAAGGCCATAGTACATTAATTAGTCTTCACAACAGTCTAAGGTACCGTGGTGAATAATTTAGAAGAGAGGAACTCCAAGTATAGTATTAATGAGATTTCTTTTATACTGGTGAATATAGCTGACATCCATTGTCGCTGCTCAGATTCCATGGTTTCGTGGCTGCATCTGTCTACAAGTGAAACGACAGTCATCATTTTATGATATGAAAGATGACAGGAAAGTCCAGGGACAGTAAGCCATCTAGCTTGGGAGGGTTCAATGGTAGAGTTACTTTTCCAAGTAAGGGATTATTACACTAAAGCTTGTGCAATCTCCACTACACTGTTTTTTTGCCTCTCAGCAGATAAAAGTAGCTTACAAAGAGAATACAGGATGTCTTACTGCACACATTCTCATTTCATTCAGTTTTATTTATGAAATGTGGTATTTTGTTTTTAAGAAAAGGCAATGTCACATTGTTATTAGTTGCGCAGATACTAATAAAATCTAAATTATATTAATCTATAGTTCATTTGAGGAGACAAATGGTGTCAAAGACGTGGCATTTTTCATTATAATAGTTTATACTACATCTTTAATGAGCATATTAAACAAAATAGAGTCAAAACTTACACAAATTAAGATCAACCAATTCTTGCGTACTTTTGGCCTGCCATCTAGATTTCTCTTTAAGCCTGAACATTTTATTTAAGGTGAATTAATCAACATGCAAACAGAAGATAAAACAAAGTCAGTGCTAAAATGTGCTAATATTTATTAAGAATATTTAACTGTGGTTTATCCAGTGAAAAGTGAACTGCTGAGTATTGTAATCAAAAGAATCCGTTTTCTTTCAAATAAAAACATTCATGTGTTCAATCATATTTTTTAAAGATGAAGCAAATTCATTGTTTTAGAATTCAATATATTCATTGTTCATCTTTTTCTTCTAATTTACCCTCTAACAGGGAAAGTTAGTGTCATGAAAAAAGATACATCTATTTATTTAAATGGTGCTGACATACACTTAGAATTTTTAAACATGTTTATTTATACTAGCTCTTTCTACAGCCATCAATTGTTTCCACACATTCTTTGAAACATAGAGGGATTTGAAGAATGGTAGTAGGGCCACTTGTGTGGTATAAATATATATATTGCTATGTAAACATTATATACACATAATATACATGCATAACACTAAGTCTTGCTTGTACAAGAGCTAAAGTAAGACTGTGCCTTCTGGCTCAGCTCAAAAAATGTAATTTCCATAATGAATCTTTTTTTCCTTATATCCTTCCAATTCAACACCCAGACAATAAGATAAAACTTCATACACACTAAAGAAAACTAGGGAGTAGACACACCATCAAAAACTAAATAGACCCCAAACCAACGAATGCTAAATAGTCAAACATCATAATAAGGGAAGTGATTTTTTTATTTAAGCCACTCCATTTTCAACATTCATCAGAGAAAGAGAGAAGCTTCCATTAGTTTTTTATGGATGGTAACTATATCTGCTTTAACATTCCAGAGCCTGCCTGGGTATGGTAATGCTGTCATTATTGTGAGTAGCTGTAGGCTTCTAAAGACTCACTCTGTCTGGTGCTTATTGCCCGATGGAGATTAATCTCTAAACAATGATCTTCTGGTACTGTTAACCTTAGATTTGAACTTTTTAGTTCATCAAAATAGAAAGGGCGGGCTGCAGAATGTCAGAGAAAGTATCTAAATGTATTTTAAAAACCAGAAACTGATCTCTTATTGTAATAAGTCTTCATCATGAAAACATAAGAAGGAAAGGCCTGTGGTATGGTATTGTTTTTGTCTACCTTTTTCACTTATTTACCCTGGGGAATTATCTAGTGGTAAGAGTCTCAGATGAGAAAAGTCCAAAAAAATTCATGAAAATGCTTTTTTCCCCTTTTCTCTTTTATTGTTTAAGCTCTGCCCAGAATTGAACCATGATTACAAGCCAGTTCTATGTTCACAGCAATTTATCTTTCCACATCACTTGTTTCTAGGTGATAAATATGTCGTTTTCAAATTATTGTGTCATTTGTGCAGTTAATTATATGCATTAGAAATTATTTCAAGGGAAATATAATTTTCACCACACATATACTAAAGTAGAAATCTTCCCAAAACCATATCACTCATATGCATTCAATTTTGTGACATTACTAAGTGGAAACCTCAAAATGAACCGATTGGGGGGAAAGTAATGAAAGCTTTAAAGAAGGAGTAAACTATCACTCCTCACAAATCCCTAGAAAATAGAATACAGCTATCTTCTGAATTGAATAGAATCACATAAAGACCCCTAGAAAAGTCACAATTGTTAACCACATGTAACTGAACCCCAAAATTATGAATATTTGATTATTTCTTATTCAACTATAACGTTATATATTAATTGTAACATAGGCTGATCAACCTTGTACTACTTTTTATTTGCATTACATTAAACAACTTAAAGGCAATTGCTAAGATTTCTGGTGTTGATATATCTTTCCTTCATCTTACCTTTATATAAGGCTTGATTCTCTTTATATCATTTTGCAATGATGAATTTAAAAAACAAAGTACTTATTAGCCTATTATCACAAAGCTGACTAAACTCCAACCAAAAAATCCACTCTTCAATTTTACTTTTATTTTTGGACTCAGTTAAAATACACCTAAAATATGTATGCACTGGCTTTTAGAAGATGTAATTGTGATATTAAATTTTATTGAAATTTCTCAGGTTCTGATTTGTGTACAGGCTTGTGCACTGAGTTCCCACGAAGCAGTAAAACGTTTAAAATACTGTCTGTGCAAATGCAAAATTTATGAATTCACACATCTCTAGTTGATTTATGTGAAATAATAATGCACTATTTAATGCTTAAACATGGCTAGGAGCAATGGTAGGCTATCAAGATGTACAATGGAATAATAGATTTAGAAGACGGATAACCTTCTTGCCTAGAGAAGCTTGTTTAAAGGTGTTGTACAGATATATTAAACTATATGTAATTTTATAGTAACTTAATGCTGTAGGCCTATACTGCAAGCAATAAAAGATTACAACCATGGCATTTGCAATAATAAAATGATCTGGCTATTCAACATAAGGTATCTGAGGACTAAAAAGAGATAAGGAACTTGTTTAAAACTTTTGTCCATTTTCATTCATTGCTCTTTACAAAATATTTCTTTTTCCTTCATGTGGCGAACATAAATCCAGGGGTCGGTGCTTGTCTCTCATCACAGAACTGAGGGAAAAGTTTTCTTGTGAGGACGGTAATTGGAAGTTCCCCAGAGGCCTCCAGGCACATTTAATTATCACCTGCTTTGCTTGGAAAACTAACTAAAAACTTATTAAGATGAAATATAACAGAGAATTACACTTGACAGTTATCTGATGGTGCACTCTATGTCTTATACTGCATGTGTATTTTTTAATATGGGAAGAAAATCTTCTTTCATCTGATTTTTTAAATTTTTTGATCATTGAGATGCATTTGCTCAATTTTATGCTTCTCTGAGTGAAAAGATACAAAACCTTAGAATTTTTAAAGTTACTATTTCAATTATGTAATATCTTAAAATTTTTAAAGATTTCTTTCAGTTTAATCTTCCATGTACAGTGCTGATTTAAGGAAAAAATGTCTTTCTATAATTATGAGAGATATTAACAAGATAAACACATTTAAAATATGTCCATTTGTATTGTAGTTTTGACTAAATTTAACACTTGTATTCATTAATCTATACTCTGTTAAACAGCAAGTCACTAAAGTGATTTCAATAACCAAAGAACTTTTTTACAAGAAAATGATTTTGTTTTGATCAATGCAAAATTTCAATACAGCCTCTTTTGAAAGAATCAAAATTTTGGCAAATCAAAACATTAACCCAATTCATTTTACATCAATTAACAGAGTTACAATTTTTTTTTTTTTTTGATACCAGGGATCAAACTTGGGACCTTGTGCTTGTGAGGCAGGTGCTGGAACCACTGAGCTAAATCCCTGGCCCCAGAGTTACAAATCTTAAAAACCATGATGACTAGCACTAAGTCCTAAATTTTCAAGTTATATTTCAAAAAGGGTCAATTGTAATCAATTAAAATTTTGATAACATTTTCAAAATACCCATGAAAAAAAATTTTCCTCTACCTTCTAAATCTTCATTGCATGTTTATGGCTACAGTGGCTATTTAAGACAAGGTTTTCAAAGCTTGACAAGGATATGAATTATATGAATTTCAAGTCAGCTGTATTTGTCAGGAAATAACCTGATCACATATTAACCATCAAATGTTCAACTCCCTTTCTGAGCATACAGTTTCTAAAGAGCAAAATTTCAACAGCTATTGTTAATGGCATTTCAGCAACTTTTATTCCCTATTTACACATACAGTGGAAACACATAATTAAGAAATATCTCAGTGCTGAAATATCATCTTAGTGGGGCACTAACTGTTGAATGATTTTCAACATTGC